GACAGGAGCCCTCCGTGGGCTCAGGTCCAGGAGCCCACTCTAGGCTGGATTCAGGTACTGGGAAGCGCTTACGAGAAGCTGGCACTGGAGGGTGCTCTGGAGGAGCAGGCACAGCAAGGCGCTTTCGAGGAGCCGGCACTGGAGCGAACTCAGGAGCTGGAGCCGACACTGGAGCGATCTCTAGGGCTGGAGCCAACCGCCTTTGATTCCCCCTTTAGGTTCGGGGTGAAAGGCGTGGTCAGCGTGCTTGAGTGAGCCGCGGCCGGCAGGCTAGACTTTGGAGCGGGGCAATGTAATGCATCCTTCATGAATAAAAGTTGATTAAAAAAATCTCTTATTAACTTATATTTTTATATTTTATTATATTTTTATATTTTAATTCTAATTATATAGTAAATCATATATTAATGTTGTAATAATATAATTGTACTTTAAAATTAAGTAAATATTTGTCAATATTCTATCAATTAATATTATATTTTACACTACAAGTTACAACACTAATATTTCTCAAATTCTTCACTTTCAAACTTTTTAAACCCTCAAGCTGCTATGTTGTCAGAAAACCACATTTTAACTTTTAAGTGTTTACTTTTAAGGTAAAATGCTAAAAATGTATAAAAGTTGGACATTTTATAAATGTGAAAGTAAAGTTCCCCCAAACTTTTGAACAGTAGTGTAGTTTTACATTAAGATAATGTTGACACAATTAAATTATGGACTCAGTTAAGTGCCTAAACCCCCTTAGAAATGCACAATGCTGCTAAAAAGACTGGATAAACTCAAACAAAAACCTTCCAAGGTCACATGATCCTGAATACGGTGGACTGCACCAGACCAAACAATGGATGTCTTCCTCACGGTGTTGATGTGATGATGAGTGACTTCGCCGGTGGCGCCTCCGGTTTTCCAATGACCTTCCACGGCGGCAAATACACAGGTGAGTTACACATGCCGCTTTAAACAGGTGCATTATAGGAACAGGTGACTGTTCAAGACAGGCAGCACAATGACAGAAAAACATAATGCAAATAATGTTTTGTTTTGTTACAACAGAAAGCTGGAAGGCAGATTTCATCAAGAACGAGAGGAAGAAGCTGTTAAACTATAAAACGCAGCTGGTGAAATCACTGCAGCCTAAGATCTACTGCCCTTTTGCTGGATACTTCACTGAAGCACATCCCTCTGACAGGTGAACACACATCCCTCGATAAGCCTTATCACAGAAACTCGTCTAACTCGTAGTCAACGTTTAACTATGGTATCCAGGAACACACTGTAAGTAAAATAGATAAAGTCAACATGAAACAACCGCTTCACGTATGAAGTATGATGCATTTCTAAGTGAAATATATTAGAATGATTTCTGAAGATCATGTGACACTGAAGACTGGAGTAATGATGCTGAAAATACAGCTTTTCATCACAGGAATAAATTACATTTTAAAACATATTCACACTGGACATTTCACAATTTTACTGTATTTTTGAGTACATTTTTGAAGAAAAAAAAACTCAATTACTCCAATCTTTTGACTGTAGTGTAACATTGAAGTATGAAATGCATGACAGGAACACTTGAACATGACTAACAGGTACATAAAGGAGACGAACAGCAAGAACAGCGCAGCAGATCTGAATGAATCGATAAGGAAGAGCTGTCCGAACATCTTAACCTGGACTCCTGTACCCGGATCAGTCCTGGATTTGGCCCTGGCACTAAATGACCCATCCAACAGGTACGTTCACACGGCTTTACGTTACCATTAGTATGCAGCATTTGAGCACGTTGATGTAGCTTGAGTGCATTAGACTAAAAGGGTCTCAATAAATAAATAAATAAAGCATTAATATTTGCATGAAAAGCAAACATTATGCAAAAACACTAACATGACATCAGTGTTATTTTAGTATTACTGAGATACTATAATGTAATTTTTTTTTGTATTTTAATTTGACTTAAGTTTTAGTAATTGTGTATTTTGTTTTTGTCATTTGTATTAGTTATTTTAAAATGTGTATGTTGTTTTTATTCATTTTTATTTGCTTTAGTTTTTCTAGTCACATTTAATGCAAATGAGAAATGTTGCCTTGGCAGCTGAAATAAAATAAGTTAAACTTCGTATATTTGTGTTTATTAACAATATTTATTATTATTTATTAAAACACATATATAAATATTATTATTTTGATTAATAGTTACTATTACGATTTTTCAATTGTATTATTAATAATAATTTTCTGTTCATCAAAGAATCCTGAAAAAATGTATCATGTTTAATTGTGAAATAAGTTGTGACATAAAAGTTGAACTTTTTTCATATTTATTTTATTTCAGTTAACCAAACTGAAAGAATTATTCGTTTTTAAAACTGTTTTCATTTAATTTTTTTTTTTTTTTATGTTATTATTTTTAGTTCTAGTTTTAACTATAATAATCCTGAATATTTATGCAATTTTTTCATTTATATTTAACTATTTATCTACAAACATATTTAATGCAGTCTCTTTTGCATTTTTATTTAGGCATGCATCTGTTTAATTTCCATTTCATATTAAAATGGTCATTAACATGTTGCATGTGAGAATTATGTTGGAGTCTGTTATTATTTCTGCCTGTTTTCTTTTCTGGTTTTAATATCATAACCATAGGGGAGTCATCACTGAGCCGCCCAATGGCACAAAGATCTATAAGGACAGTTGGGACTTTGACTTGTATTTGGATGAACTGAATGCTTCCGTTTCAGCTGAAATCTTTAAATACAAAAGCTGGATCCAGTACTATTATAACTGGGCAGGATTTAAAGACTACAATCTGGTCATTCGGGTAAATCATATATTTCATAACCGAACTGCTGGTGGATTTCACACATAAAGCAGCCTCATGCACAAACAAACCCATAAACTGATGCAATAAACTGTTTTCCCATCAGGTCACTGAGACGGATGATGATTTCAAGCCTCTGAAAGGAGGTTATGACTATCTGGTGGATTTTCTGGATCTTTCTTTCCCAGCCGCGCGTCCGGAGAGAGATCACGCGTATGAGGAGGTACAGACTGAGCAGCATGAGATGCACGCTGAAGTTTAAAACAAACTGATAAATCAAATGTGTGCGTTTCAGATCAAGAACCGAGTTAATGTGATGAGACACGTGGTTCTGAACGGCCGGCTGTGGGACGACCTGTACATCGGCTTCAATAACAGAATGAGTCGAGATCCTGATGTTTACCACCACAAGTAAATATACACGAACAACATCATCACAAGATGAAACAGAAAAATACATAAGAGTGCATTAGTCATGTATCAAGTGAAAATATAATCAATTCAAAGCCCAAAATCCAGGAATGTAATCATTTAGCATGGTATTTACATGGTATCCTGAAGTATTCCTCGCAAATGAAGCTTTTAACATAAAAAATATTCAAAATGTTTATACCTATGGACATCTACAGTAATCCATAGTTAAATAAACTCGGTCTATAATATTATTTCTCATCATATATTTTTTTATTGGCAGATTCTGGAATCGTTTTCAGACAGAATTGCCACTATTGCAAATGTTTTAAAATACTTATATTTAGCTTCATTTTTTCCCCTCAGTTTTAGAACTTTAGTCATTTTAGTACTTCAATTTAACCTTGTTTTGTTTCGGTTTGTATTTTTTTTTATTGTAGCATTTATATTTTATTGTAGCCTTGTTTTTAATAGTTTTAAAACAATAACAACACTGATAGGTTTCTTGAAGCATCTTCGAGATGTTGCCACAGTTCTTCTGGATTTAATCGGTCTCAGTTTGTTCTGTTTCTTCATGTGATTCCAGACAGACTGGATGATGATGAGATGTTTGGAAATGGAAACTGATATTTCCTACTGACACACTATAGCAAAAGATAGAAATAACTGACTTAAAACCAATTTTTAGCTGGTGAAAATACTAGAGTTCTAATCATTTTGGCCACCACTGTATATATTTATATTTTTCCTCTTGAAGTGGTGGATGCAGGAGTGGGTTGTTCTTGTAAAGATGTTTAACAGTTTTTCACCCGTCATCTTTTCAGCTGTGGCTGTTACGCCTCTTAGTAATTGGCCCTGTTGTCAGTTTTCCAGGTTGGTTGGCAGTTTGTTCTTTGTTTTTCTTTTTACGTTGAAGCCTTTCGTTGTTAGCAACCCGGAGAACCTGTGGTTCTTTTTATCAAATTTCAGATGCCTCTCTTCAATCCACATTATTTATGGCGGTTACGAATGAAATTAAGATTGTCTCAAGGGATCAACCATGTAATTAAGAGACAAAAAAGAATAATCTCTTACAGTAAAAGGGAACAAGCTCACATTGCTAATTTACAGGAAACCCATCTGACTGAAAACAGAACACCTGAAGGGCAGACGAGGATGAGTGGGTCAGGTTTTCTAATCCTCTTTCAATTCTTACAATAGAGGTGTAGCAATCTTAATTTATAATTTATATAATTTATTTATAAGTTCAACTTTAGGTTTGAGGAAATGATAAAAGGTACAAGAGGATGTTACATTCTAATTCTTGGCCAGCTTTTTGGAGAAAGGGTCCTTATCGGAAGTGTGTATGCTCCAAATTTGAACCAACTTTTTTTCTCTGAATGCATTGCCAATATTTCATCTTTTTCTGTTAATCACATCATTCTCGGAGGAGACTTGATGGAGGAGCCATGAACTGCCTTTTTATTATTTTGTACTGTTCACTGAGGCCCACTTATTATATCAAGATTTTTACATTAAAAAACATCATAATCTAGAAGTAATAGGCTATTTTCTGTCCTGTTTTTAACCCCTCATCAGAACGCTGTTTGAATAGGTGTGGCAGATTGTAGACTCGGAAATAAACGCCCACTGCTATGATTGGCTAATAGTTGTGTAAGTTCAACAGTGACATTCCTCACAGATGGTCGGTGCTGTAATTTAGGTCAAAAACGCATAACTCAATACATATCAACCGATCTGTAAGAAAAGACAAAGCAATAGTGATCACGTAATGAAAACAGTTACACACTTGTGTTGCGACATTACAGCATCATCTTTTAGTTTTTGTCTTTCTGAAAATCGCGTGTTGAATTGTGCCTTGTTTGTAAACAATCCGTGGTAAAATAAAGTGAACAAAGACCGAGTTCTTACTGACGCGGTCTGGATCTTCATTAAAAATAAAGTTCATTCACTCTTTCCTAACGTTAGGATCAGAATCCCGCGGCATCAGAGAGGCTAAGAGACAGTACTCCAGGAGGATAGCCCATCGCTTCAGCGACAGCAGAGACACTTGGAGCCTGTGGCAGGGGATACAGACCATTACGGACTACAAGCCCCCACCGCAGCCCTGTAACAGCACCATCTCCCTGCTGAATGAGCTGAACGCCTGCTTCGCTCGCATTGAGGCACAAAACAGCATCACAACACAGAAGACTCCACCTCCTCCTGGCGACCAGGTGATGACGCTCTCCCCGGACAGCGTGAGGAGATCCCTCAGCAGGATCAATGCACGCAAAGCCCCGGGTCCTGACAACATTCCTGGGCGTGTATTGAGAGACTGTGCAGAGGAACTGACTGATGTCTTCACAGACATTTTCAACATCTCGCAATGTCAGGCTGTTATCCCCACATGCTTCAAATCTACCACCATCATTCCAGTCCCGAAGAAGTTGTCTCCATCCTGCTTCAATGACTACCGTCCAGTTGCACTTACTCCTATTCTCATGAAGTGCTTTGAACAACTAGTCATGCACCACATCAAGTCTGTCCTCCCCCCTCCCTGGACCCCTTCCAGTTCGCATATCGGACCAACCGCTCGATCGATGGCGCCATCACCACTGCCCTCCATCAGCCCTCACACATCTGGACAAAGAAGACTCATATGTCAGAATGCTGTTCATTTTACTAGACTTCAGCTCAGCATTCAACACAATCATCCCTCAACAGCTCATTCACAAATTGGTCCAGCTGGGGCTCAACACCTCGCTGTTCAACTGGCTGTTGGACTTCCTGACTGGGAGACCTCAGGCAGTATGGGTTGGCAGTAGCACATCCAGCACCATCACACTGAACACAGGGGCCCCCCAAGGATGTGTGCTGAGCCCCCTCCTCTTCACTCTGCTGACCCACGACTGCACACCGTCTCACAACTCCAACATCTTCATTAAATTTGCGAACGACACAACTGTGGTGGGTCTCATTAGCAACAGAGATGAGACAAACTACAGGAGTGAAGTGAGCCGCCTGGCCGGGTGGAGCAGTGACAACAATCTCTCTCTGAATGTGGAGAAGATGAAGGAGATTGTTGTCGACTTCAGGAGAGTGCGCACTCAGCATGCTCCTCTGACCATCAACAGTGCGACTGTGGAGAGAGTGAGCAGCACCAAGTTCCTGGGTGTGCACATCACAGAGAACATCTCCTGGACTAACAACACTGCAGCACTGGCCAAGAAAGCACAGCAGAGTCTACTTCCTCCGTAAACTGAGAAGAGCCAGAGCCCCGGCCCCCATCATGTGCACCTTCTACAGAGGCACCATCGAGAGCATTCTGACGAGCTTTGAGAGCATCCTGACTAGCTGCATCACTGTGTGGTATGGCGCCTGCAACGCGTCCTGCCGCAAGACCCTCCAACGCATAGTGAGAGCAGCTGAGAAGATGGTTGGTGTCTCTCTCCCTTCCCTCCAGGACATTTACAACACCTCTCTCACCCGCAAAGCCCTCTGCATTGCAGGTGATCCCACCCACCTGACACACAGCTTCTTCAGTCTGCTGCCATCAGGAAGGACAGCTTCATCCACCAGGCAGTCAGGAAGCTAAACTCCCTCCCGAACTTGCACTGCACAGCGTCTTCTTGTCTTTGGAGCATCTTTATTGCTTGGTTTCTGCATAGACCTGCATTCCCCTCTCGTTCGTTACATTACATGCACGAATCAGTGGGTGGGGCTAAACAGGCAGCGATGTAGAATCAGTGGGCGGGGCTAAACAGGCAGCGATGTAGAATCAGTGGGCGGGGCTAAACAGGCAGCGATGTAGAATCAGGTGTTGATCTGCGGAGGCGGTGCTTCTCCACGCTATTACATCATAGAGCAGAACATTCCACAAGCTGTCGTTTTGGCAGACTGCCTTCAATAAAAGCTGATTTTACTAACGACAAAGTTTTGAGTTCTGAAACTTACAGGATGTTTTTATAGTACAATAACTTCTGATATGTTAAAAGATCAAGGGAATACTGGTTTCTCAGTTCATGGCAGATTCATAAAGCATGTTTTTAACTAAAGAAATCAGATGCACTTTGCAGATTCATGTGGTCCATAATATCTGTTGTTGTTTTATTGGCAGGTTCTGGAATCACTTTCAGACAGAACTGCCTCTATCAGCACCAGACTGGGATCGTTTCCTTCAGATTGCCTGTGAAACGGACGTGCCAAACGAGAGCAGTAATGGCTGTGCTCTATCTTAACACAAACACACACACATCACAGTTATCTGTGTCATTTTTCTGGATCACAGCGCTGTTTACGTGGTTTTGAGGGTCTGACGGGTTTGAATCTGATGCTGCTCTATCACTTCTGCTTAATAACTGTAAGACAAAGACAAACACTACTTGAACAACCCCAGTGAGCACAGCTAGAGGTTAATATTTATGTTTCTCTGGAATACTTGATTCTGTGCTCAAATATGCAATATTTTTGTATAATGATGCTACGAATAGGATGATACGATTGTTTGTTTTCCCTGGAATCAGATTTTCATAATGGCAGTTTTGTGTCTCTTTACATCAGGTTACTATATCACTGGCATGTATTTCATGGAACGAGATTTTAATTGCATTATAAGCAACTATTTTAATGAATAAAAAAATTAATGTAAAAAAGCATTTTGCAAATAATGTGTTTGTCTGAGACCACATTGAAAACCTGTGACTTTCTCATCTAATCATTAATCATTAAATCTCATTTAAACCCAGAAACAGAAAAAAAGAAAAAAAAGAGACATAAAATAAGGAAGAAATATTTCATATTAATCTTTTCACACAAATGTATATAATTATGTAAAATTGTAGTATACAAATATAATTATGAAAAAAAATTCATTTTCAGTGACAAAAGGTATTTTCGCATTTTGTTTTAGATTTTTAAATCCCACTGGAAAATAAAATTAATATGTACATAAATGTACTAAAATAGAATATTTATAAAATAAATATACTGCAATAGCCTAGATGTCAGTGCTGTTTTAGTTTTATCTTAATTATAACTTCTGATATTATAGTACTCAATATACTGAAATAGCTTATATTTTTTATATTTTATTTTAATTTTAATGTCATTTTGTCATTTTTTTGTTTTATTTAATTTTTTATTATATATCTATTTAGCTTTTTTTGTTGTTTGTTTGTTTTAGTAATTTTAGTACTTCAATTTAAACTTATTCTATTTCAGTTAGCTGCCCAGGCTTTTAAGTTTATGTTTTTCATCTAATACTTATTTTCAATAGTTTTAATTAACATTAGTAATGCTGACAGTCATTTTGCTAACATGAGACAGAAACATTTCAGGTCAGAGAAAAACACGTTTCCAACACATCACAGCGGAATCGCTAAAATAAGCCCCTGCATTGCTTCAAGAAAAACACGTTTCCAATATATTGCAGGTGAATCGCTAAATGAAGTCCCTGCATCGCTGCTCTCATGCATTCACACATCCGAAACAGGAAACACGAGGCACTGCTGCAGACTGCGGATATCTACACCTGCACTAATGTGCATGCAGTTAATGAAGCTCCATGTGCTGAAGAACATTCTAAATGACTTTCAGTTTTGCAAACATTGTGTAAGAGATATAATAGTTTTCTTTCGCTTCATTTAGCCCAGATATCCTGATAAGCAGGGTTCAAATGGTGAGGAGGTGAAGTGGTTTAACCCACAAAACACAGTGCGGTGTGCAACCAATTCAGAGGTTTTTACATGTGGGTTTGATATGAACAGAACCAGGTAGTAGCTGATTACATGCATACTGTGGATTACGGTACTTGTAGTTAGATTACATTACATTTTGAAATACTCGTAATCAGACTACAGTTACTTTCTTATTGATTAATTACATGTTATTCACACAATAGCAATAAATGATATTTTATTTTCTAAAATAGCCTACCGCTTACCGGTATATACATTAACCTAACTGGAACTAACCTTACCTGGAAGACTTTCTGACTGTATATAAGCAGCAGGTTATTTTAGAAAGGGAAAATTAAAAAGGAAGAATTAGGGAGAATCAATAAGTGATAAATAATGTATAGCTATTATGTGAATAATACGCAATCTTTTACTCAACAAAAAGTAACTGTAGTCTGATTACAAGTATTTTAAAATGTAATCTAATTACAAGTACTTAATTTTTGTAATCTTATTATGTAATCCAGATTACATGTAATCAGTTACTACCCAGCACTGTAAATATAAGCTGTGCCGTTTTGTGGACATTCAAAGACCAGTCACTACTACAATTATATTGTATATTCTAATTATAATCAGGTGGCTATAATTACAGAGACAATTGAGAGGCCACACAGCATTTGACCACTGTATTTACAAAAATCATTTCAACTTTAAGAGTTTTCTCAACATTTCAATGTGTTTTGTATGTGTCTATCAAACACATTAAAATAATAATAATAAAAATCTTATTTAACATGCAATTCTCAAAACTTATTTTGTCAGCTGAACATTTTTATCCCCGAGATTTTAAGGTAATAAATAATTAAGTATCACTTTTGAATGTTCACGGTTCTCTGACGTTGGTTATTGGTCACATGAGAAGCAGGCAAACAAATAAAATATTTTATATTTTTTAATAAGTGTTTTACTTTAACTGTTGGCATTTTAAAATGATTTCTTTTCATTTTACATTTTTGTGATTTCATATAGCTTTTCATTAAACTCACAAACCTCCAGCAGTTCCTTCACGAACCTTAGTTTGGGAAACCGTGATGCAATGTAATGTAATATTTAATGCACTTCTTGTTATTTATAACTAAGAATGGAGTATATTTTCCTTTCTCTTTGTATCTTTATATCAATATGGTATCAATATGGATTATATTACCTAAAATGTCTAATGTTATGGTTTCCAATTTTTGGCATGTAATTTGTAATTAGTAACAGACTACAATTTGTAAGTAATCTGGATATAATTATAGTTCCTCTGTGAGAAAGCAGAAGTGAGCAAACCACTGACAGGAAACCCGCCGGATACCCTGAAAGTTTAACCAGTTGTAAGTTTAACAGTCAAACTCGGCGATGAGCGACTACCTTCACCTTCTGATCTCTGTCACAGTTCTGCTAGGTTTGGGTTCCTTCGAGCCGGTCTTTGATATCACGGATCCAGCGTTTATTGAGGAATGCGTGAGAGAACACAACAAGCACCGCGCCGACGTGACGCCTACGGCCGCAAACATGCGCTACATGGTAAATATCAGATGTTTCCTGATGTCGGATCAGAGATCGCAGGTCTCGATGGAGTCTGTGGAGGTTAAACATGCTAATGTGTGTTAAACGGATCTGAATGCAACACTAGATTTTTAACATGAACCTGTTTACTCTCTTCATACAGTACATCTTCATGGTCTTATTGTGCATGACAGTTTTTCTTCTTCAATATCCTTTTTCATTGAAGAAAAAAAGTATTTTCAGTTTCAGGCTTTTAAACTCCACTGTACAATAAAATACATGAAATATAAACTACAACAGACATCAGTGTGGTTTTAGTAGTTAGTTAATTCTAAGTTAATTCTAAGAGTTTCACTTTTAGTTTAAGATTTTCAAACCCCACTGTAAAATAAAATATATACCTAAAATACACATTACAATAGACATCATTGTTTTAGTATTACTTATATACATTACACAGTAATATCTCATGCAATATGTTGTTTTATTGAAAGAAAAATTATTTTAATTTTGGTTTCATTATAAACTAAAATATAAAATACAATTGACATCAGTGTGGTTTTAGTATTACTTATATTTCATTAATAATAATATTTTAATATCTTTTTAAAAAGGAATTTTCACATTTAGTCAGACTTTTAAACCCCACAGTAATGTAAAATATATATATATATATATATATATATATATATATTTTTTTTTTTTTTATATAAGTATATTAATATATTTATTAAAATATATT